CTAAGGGTTACATTTTGAGAATAAATGAGTTATCATTAAGGTTAACCATTCTCCATTAACTACTTCAGGTTGTAGCACTTGGAAATTGCTAACACTATTGGCAGCATTGGTTAGCATGAAGAACTACTTTTCCTTTGAAGAAAAATGTTTCTCTACTGATGAAGGTCTTTGACTAAGCAACAAAATATATTTGACTGAAGATGATCAAAAATATTATCTTACAACACACTTAACACTACTATTCATTCTATTGGGAAGCATTGTAGAGTAATGGATAGTGGCTTGGATTGAGAAATCGGAGAGCGGAGTTCGAATTCCAGTCAGATCCATTACATTCACTTATGTGCTAATACCATTGGGAAAGGCATGAAGCCTCTTCTCCCCCACCCCCCAGCTATGGGTAAAAAGCAGGACAGATCATGTTCTATAGCCTTCGATGGCAACTGAAAGAAATGGCAACCTACTACGGGAAAAAATCTGCCTTATCAGTCATGTATTGGAAGATACATGATCACCTAAGCATGTATCACGCATGGCATATAACTAACTGACTATTCATTCATTGACAACTGATTGTAGGGCAGGGTTGATCTGATGGTTAACAAACTCATCTTGCCAATCTATTTACTACCAATGTAGTAATATCAATCCTCTTTGGGTACCTTGCTACTGTAGCTTTGTGACAAGCTAATCTAATCTTAGAAAACAATAATAGCTACTTTAAAGATTGCACTCTTTACACAATGCCCCATATTTGTAGCCTTGTGCCAGACTAAGTTAATATCCATCATAACATATAATATATAGTATTACATTGTCGTTTTCAAAATGTGCTAAACTTCAACAGAAAGATGAATGGTAAGATTGACATAAAATGAATTATTTTTATTGTGAGGTTTATGAACATTCAATTAATATTTCTTTGAGATGATTGATTTGGAATTTTGAAATTTAAACAGAACAAAGATTTATCTGCATGATTAAAATATATGAATTAATGTTAAGTCAGAAAATGTGCATGTTCTTTCTTTCTTACATGGAAAATTTGTACAACTGCTACTTCAGTTGAAATTTGAGTTTGTTTCTTTCATTTTATTCTTTTATTTTACTACTTAAAGCTCAACTGCTTTTAAAACATCCTCTACAGAGACAAACAGTAGAACAAAAATATTAATTTACATACTACCACAGTATGAATATAATTAGTTGTAGTTTCATCCAACACTTGTTTGAAGATGAGTTTTTGTTTCTAAGTAAAAATTAATTGTATGGAATGTCTTTTTTGTGAGTAGGTGAAAAGGATTATTTTAGCAAGTTTAACAAAATTTTGAAATGTAACTGTACTAGTTTTAGAGATAGAGGAAAAGAACATGTTGAAAACAAATGTAAAACATTTATAATAAATAAAATTAAAAATAAGCTGAAGAGATATATATATATATATTTCGATTATAGGTGCAGTTTAATTTATAATTACATGAATTATTCATACAAAAAACAAATATAGAGGTTAATGATTTAAATGGCGAGAATACATCTCCAATAAGATACACTAACCCCGAACCTGTATATGAATGATATGATCCCTGTTTATATATTCAAGTTTCATAAGGTCTTTTTTAGTTTTTACAAGCTTTCGTCTGTTCCTACAGACATCCTCAGGTATGGAAATAGATTTGTTCTTGTTTTTTACTTCTTGGTAATAAGAGGACAACGAAAATATAGATATAATCCAAAAAAATGCTATGAGAAATGTGTTATTGTTTTGGAACGTGCGGTCGCAATGCTGAGTTTGAATTTAAAATTTTAAGGTTGTGCATTTTTGTACAAATATAGTAATAAGAGAATTCTTTTTTACTGGTAGGTTTTCCGTCAGTGTGGCATGAACTATATTGTTCAATAATTACAGGAATGTCACACTTATTATCCAAAAGTTGCACGTTGGATCAGTTACTTTAATTTCGATTATAGGTGCAGTTTAATTTATAATTACATGAATCATTCATACAAAAAACAAATATAATAAGCATTTTTTCAGATTACATCTATATTTTTAAGTAAGTGTAGATATAGAAAATGCTGGTTATTACAATAGGTTTGTTTTTCTTCTTTTTTTTTTTTTTTTTTTTTAACGTTTTTGAATAAATATGTTTTACCCCCAGTTGTTGTGTTACTCTTTGCTTCTTTTTCTTTTTTTTTTTTTTTCTTTTTTTTTGGTCACTTAGTCATGTTTTGTGTTGTAGGATATGTATTTTCTGTTCTTATAGCACTTCTTTAGTCAGTTTACCCTGACGATCTGCATAGGTGAAAACTAGGTAGGTTTGTCTGGCTCTTTAGATTTACTTAGTTGGCTCTACTTAGCATATTGAGCACTTTGCTTAGTTATTTTTACTTTATTCCTGTCAGAGGTTTTTTTTATTTGGACTCTGAACTTTGATTCTAGACGATTATTTTCACCGGAATTACATGTTCTTAGTTTTTTCTTTTTTTACACTCCCCCCCTCCTCTGGTTATTGGTTTGTTCATTTACAAGCTAAAACACCTATGGTTTTGCCGGACGATTATAGCTGCTTATATTTATAAGATTATTAGTATTATATATATATATATATATATATATATATATATTTAAATTTCTTAGAGTTAACCTGTAGAAAAGACAATATTTATATATAAAACTGAAAATTTTTATTTTTTGCTTTGAAAAGTCCACATTGGACGAAAGCAACTACTACAGTTTTCCTATTGTCATTTATATTTATAAATTTATATATATATATATATATATATATATATATATATATATATATATATATATATAATATCCTCCTTGGAATCATCCGTACTATACATCATTGAATATTCATTTTTATATATATATATATATATATATATATATATATATATATATATATATATATAGTTTTAAGGTATGCTATATTTATGGGATAAAGTGCTCAATATCAGAGATACAGTGTATGTAAATATAAAAGTGAAGTCAACACTCAGAGGTGACAGACTGTTTCATGCTAGACAGAATCGTTTAGCATGAAAGTCTGTCACTCTGAGTGTTGACTTCAATATATATATATATATATATATATATATATATATATATATATGCATTCAAATATCTAAGCTTTTTTATAAGTGCATAGCAATGTCAGCTTTTGTAAATGTCTGTGTATTTACTTTGACAGTATGTATACATTTCTACTTATGTCTATTTATGTTTCTAAAGAGCATTTTGTCTGTTTTATATTAATGCACATTTGTCAGTTATTTGGGAATTAAGCACATTGCTTATTTTCTTTTAATTAAAATGCAATAAATTTCCTGTGTGTAATGACTTGGAGAATATTAATTTACACTAGAAGTAAATTAAAAATATATACAGAACTGAATGTTACACTCCTTGAATATTCTACAGTTTAATATCTTCAAAATGTTACATTAGCAAACGAAAGATTACAAAACAGGAACTTGAGGATATAGTTATGGAAGACATTTTCGTTCTGTACAACACTGGGTCATCTTGCTAGTCTACAGAGAAACAAAAATTGAATTGACTGTTTGTAAAAATAGAGAATAAATAATTTGTACTGTGACAGGATAGCACATGGCAAACTAAGATAAAGAAGATAAAAAATTAAATATGTTTGAGGATTTTATGAGTAAAAGAATGAAAACACAAAGTCTATATTTTATTACTTCACTAGTAATTTTTGATGAAATTTCCTCAATATTTCATCATTTCCTCCATGCCCTTATATAAGTAAATACATCTTTTGGTCTTTTCAGACAGACTTCATTGGATTCTTGAGCTCTATCTCCCCATATATGTCAACTAATAAATTTGAGCTGCATAGTCAGAATCATAACTCAACTGACATTTCTGTTAAAACACATGCACACATACAACTTTAATTCTATTAACTACAGTTTTCATATTCTCCTTTTGAAGTTTTACTATTTAGCTCAATTGCTACAGAATGTTTTGCTAACAACAGGAAACTGATTTCGTTCGTTTTGGCAATGGACTTTTGTGTGTTCATATGAATAACTTGTGATAAATATTTTTGTTTTTTAATTCTTGTCATTATTTCTTGTTTTGGTTCAAAAAATATTTCTGGCAAATGTAATACATGTCACAGAAGGCTACATCAGTATACCAGTTGTCAGAATTTTGATTAAAAAATTTCAATTTAGAATCTTTTGGTAATTAAATTAATATACACTAATCAAGTGTATTGACAAAAATGGAAATTTTTTGTGGAAAATAAACATTTTCATGATTAAGCACCAGACTTATTGATGTACCTATATAAACACAGATGTAGTTTTATAGGTGTTGACATATTTTTTTACAATCTATACCAAATCATTTTTACACTACAGGCATGTTGTATCCTTTTGAGCTATCTTATAGATTAGACAAATATTTTTGTTGAATTCAAAGGTTGTCATCATTCTACAGAGTGTTAGTTATATATGTAAAGCATATCTCAATAAATCCAACTTTTTTTGTAAGCAGTAATAAATCAGCATGCCATAAATATTTTCTTAATTTAAATTGTTTTCAAACCAGAAGCTGTTTCTAACCCCTCCCTCAATATATCTCCTAGAAGGACTGTTTAAGGTAAATTTCCTAGCCACCTACAAAATCCACCTTTTTGATTTAAAAAAAAATATCAAGCTTTTTCCAAACATACTGCAAATGACTGATTTCTTCACCAATGAGTTGGCCATCAAAAAGAGGCAAATGTTTCTTTATACAGGATGAAATGAACTTGCATTGAATATATCAGCAAAATCCAAGAAGACCATTTAGTTAATTATCAATACTGTGAAGTAAAATGCATGCTTCTTTCAGAGTGAAACATGCAGTTGTGAAAAAAATAATAATAGTGAGAAATTCTATATTGTATGTATTAAAGAAGAGACTCTTTTCTTTCTCACAAATGAATTTTTGAACACTGCTTTCTCATTTCTCCTTGCTTATGGCTATATCATATTGAAACACCAGTTCCTGTATGAACACTGAAGTTAGGCAACATTGAGCCTGGTCAGTACTTAGATGGGTGACTGCTTGGGAATACCAGGTATTGTGAGTTTGGATGTATAGGTGGTGTAATGGATAATGACTCATTATTGTTAATCAGAAAGCCCAAGTTCTAATTCCAGTTTGGTTCATTCTATTCACTTTTGTGCAAATACCCTTGGGAAAGGTATGAATCCACTTCTTTTCTTTCCTGCTATAGGTTAATTAGTAAAACTTATATCACTAAATCATTATTATCACCCCTCACAAAAAAAATTTACAATCTAAAATTATTTTCTGGCTTTAAATAACCTGCAACAGATTGATAAGTCAAAGAAAATGAATCAATCATTTCTGCTTAAACCTTCAGAGCAATTAAATTTTACATAGATGTGTAAATGCAGTGTGCATGTGTGTTTATATAAAAGACAACAGGAACACATTTTATACAAACATGTTTCATTCCTTGAGGGGCTTCATCAAAGCAAGTGTAAAAATTTTATTTAGTAACCTGTATTCATACACAGAAGTAATGGGAAGAAAAAATATTTTTAAGTTTTTCAAATTTATAATTGCAGAACACAGTAAAATATAAAATCTTACTATTTAAAGGAAAGCTAAACTAAGGTAGAAGGTAAGAGATAATTTTCAGCCTAAAAAACTAAAATGAGTTAATGTTGTTAATTTTTTATATATATATATATATATATATATATATATATATATATATATTTTATTATAAGAGATTATAATGAAAACATATTGAAATCACTACACAAAAACTTTCATGTTTCAATACTATGATTGTACTTCTTTAGGCGATGGTAAGTAACTGGTGATTAAATGATTTAAAATCTTATTAAACACTTTCCAACCAACTTTAATAAATTGTTTTATTTCATTTTTATAGTTTTTATTGCTGTTACCTATCATAATTCAAGGTATTCTTGGATGTCTTCCAGTTCATTGTTTTTTTTGTTATTCTTTTAAGAGCCCTAAATAATTAAATAATAATTCAGCGCTTTTTTTTTTATATCTGTTCATTTTTAAACCTATTATGTATATTTCCCAATTTGAATCATTTAACATTTTGTGTAATTCAGTCAATAACATATATTGATAAAATGCCAACAGCAAATTGTAGCTGGTTTAAATGTTTCTCTATTTATATTTATTCTCCTTCCTTCCCAGCTCATTTTCCAGAAGATAAAAATGGATGCAGGAAATGGTATCTTCTTGCTTCATTCCTTTTTCAATCTTTACTTTATTTGGATATTTGTCTTGTCCAAATATAATTTTATAAAGTCTCAATAAACTTTATGCCATTTACATTAATGCCCTGGTTTCTTAGTGAATTAAAAACTAATGTGCCCGATTGAGTCAAATGCTTTTTCATAGTTGATTAAAGTTAAATAAATTAATTTCTTGTATTTTTTTTTAATTCAGTGACCTATTGTTTGTAGATGGCCTATTAGTGAGTAACCACTTCTAAAACATACCTGTTTAAACAGGTGATTTTCCTCTCAGGTGTTTGGTTGTCTGTAAAGTAGTTGAAAGTAGTTTGTATATGTTCAATAGTATTAATGTGATTGGGTAATAATTGCTGAGGTCCTTTTGAATAAAGTCAGATTACTATTGCTAAACTGAAGTTTTCCCGTATATTTCTTGTCCATAAACACTGGATAAACAGCAATGTTAATCCTTAGTGAAATTTTACTTCTGTATCTTTATCTGTTGCTTTGCTCTGCTTCTTATCTTGAAGCTCAAATCTTTATCTCATCTGTTATTATATCAGGAACATCAGTCGTATTTACCAAAGAGAGTATTGGTGGTATTTCTGTTTACAAACATCCACGTCTGCATAGTAATCCTCCTTGCTTATCTTTAACATCTTTCTACATTTGCTAACTTCAAATCTGTATCAATCTTTCAATGCAACCAATTGCTATTTACCTGTACTGGTTGCAAATCAAATATGTTTGTAGCTTTTCCTTTTCCTCATAGATTCTTCTACTCTTTCCAGCATCATCTTTTTGTATTTCATTCTTAACTGATTAGTTTAATTTTATATGTTGATTTTAAGTTATCTCCCTTTGTTATTTCATCATTTAAGGCTTTAAAAGAGGGTTGAACTTTACCCCCTACCAGGTGACTTCATCTTTGTTTGAAGTACTAGATTGGCAGCTAGGTCTCATCATTTTACAGTTGAAATTGCTAGTTGCAATCATAAGTTCTATGATAACAATTTCTCTTTTCCCACTTGTCATTTGTGGCTTCTAGCTTCTTGGTTTCCAAGCAACTTTAATCTTTTGAAAATTTAAATGCAATGTCAATCATTATCTTCTATCATTCTTTTCTTCATTTCAACATCATCATTTTTTTGTATTTAATTCTTGATTGATTGGTTTAATTTTATCTTAATATTTAAATCTATATTTCTTTTTTCCATCAATGTTGATTTTGAGTTATCTCCCTTTGTTATTTCTATTTCCTTTTTGTTTTTCCTCTTTGCTGCTTCCTAAATTACAAGTTACCAATTTGCTATTCAAATTTTCTATGTTATTTTTCTCATTCCACAATGCCTGAAATCTCTTCTTGATTTCTACCTGAAATTTGGTGACATTCTCTCTGATCTTATTAGAATATGTTTTCTTTCTTAAACTCATTTTGTTTCTCTCAGTTTTAAAGCCAAATTTCACTTGCCAATCAATCATTTTTATGATTGATTCCTATGTTAACTTATGACATTGACATCTTTAATGGCAATGTTTTGGTCAGCAATTATGAAGTCATTTTTTATTTCCCTGTATGTGATTTCTTCCAAGTTTTTCAAGTCCACTTATAGCATCTTGCTAGTTCAACTGTAAAACAATGAAACCTAGTTGCTAATCTAGTTGTATGTTTAAATTTATGCAGTCAAAATACTAAGGAAAAAAAGCTCATCAGAATAACTGCCATGGAAATATTTGTAGAAAAAGACAGAGGGAAGCCATGTTATATCAGTGAGAAAGTGACTAAAGTCAAGATGCCAGGTTAAGATCCCTTACAGATCCTTCTTTGAATTTTGTCAAGAATCTTGTAATATACAGAAGGAGCACCAGACCAGATATGGCAGTGGTATTCAATGCATGGTAAATGTATAAATGTGCAAGTGCTTTTGAAAAAATGTATTCATTCTTGTCATTTTATATCTTGGGAAGTTAACAAATATTTTGCTACTCTCATTTCTCTTCCCTGTTGTAAATTTTCTGACATAAGATTCTCCTCTTTTTCTTGTCTCCATATTTATATTGATGTTTCTCATCTATAATATTACTGATGTCATTTTCCATAAAAGCCTTTAATTTCCTCATCTGAACTTTTCAATGTTGATTTATTGGATTATTTTCATACTGTATCTTTTGCCTAATCTGATTATTATGGAACATGTTCTGTTGAAAATTTCTTCAGTGCTTGAAATGTCACTCTGGACTAAAAATCTAAAATGTTATCCTTTCTCTGATAATACAGTAGATGGGCAGTTACTTTTAGCTGAAAGTAACTCTCTCTCTCTCTCTCCCAAATGGATTTTCTTGTTCACCAATATACCTATATAAAGACTTCAATTAGAATGGATAGATTGTTTTATTAGTTCTCTGATGAACTCATTTAACTTACCTGCAGTAATATTACCTGGATGACTACTATCCATTTATACATATGTTTATACATACATATACATTGGTGAGATGTAACTGTATGCTAACTGTTTCTTCTCTCACACTTCTCGTCTGTGGAACTCTCTTCAGGCTTCCTGTTTTCAAGCCAAATTTGATCTTCAAAAATTTAAATGCAATGTCAATTGTTAGCTATTGTCTTTTTGATTCCCATTTTTTTATTGTACTTGCTCCTTAATAATGTTTTTCCTTTCCTTATTCTTTAACATTTAGTAACCCTTGTATCTTAGTGGCTTTATTGCCTTGCTTGGGGTGAAATGATTAAAAAAAAAATGCACACCAGGACTCTTTTTCATATATAGAAGGACTTTCATCATTGAACACTTGATATTCCTAAGTTTATCATTCCATCCTTCTGTAAATATGTGATAAAAACAGCACCATGAGGAAAGTAATCCGAAGAATTAAAGAAATAATGACAAATATTCATCTCAGGACTCTTATGCTATACAAAAATGTATTGTTCATATTAACTCTCTCTTTTGATTTTCTTTCAATCTTTACACAAGGCCTCATTGATATATGTGCGATATGATGTTACCATGAGGTAAGTTTGCACCCCTCACCATAGACACCGTTGCTATAGTTTAAAATTAGTGTTTATTTTTTAATTTCAGGTAGACATTGGTACTTTGGACAAATTCTGCTTTTGAGCCCAATCAAATCATTTTGGTTTCTAATAGAGAAAGAGAAATCCTAATAAAAAATATTTTATTTTTATTTGTTTAATTATATTTTTTGCATGCTAAGTTTTTGTTTGCAATCAGGTTTCAATCCTAGCCTCAAATTATAAAACAGTTTTTCTTTTTCAATTATTTTAACATTCTAGGAAGAGTAAAGTGTTTTTTAAAACAAATTTTCCTTTAATATTATTCCCTTCTGCCATCATTTGTGTTTCTTTATGCTTTTTCACTTTTTTGTATTTTTGACTTTTTCTCTTGTAATTTGACAAGTTTTCCGGCAATGAATCTGTTTTAAAAGTCATTTTTTTTTTAAAGTGACAAAATAGTAAAAAAAAAAAAAAATTTCTTTATTTTTTTCAACTTGCATCAATTTTTAACAATATAAAAATGTCTCTACCCTCTTCGTGTGTCTTGAAATAAGAAAATTTCTATCAGCCAATATTTTCATCACAGTTCAGAATTTTAGTCCTGTTGTCTTGTCAACTGTCATGTTTATTACCTTTTTCCATTCAGGCAGAAATGTGAATATGTACATATCTACAGACACTTGGGCATGTACCCATATATTTATTGGTACGTGTGCAATATGGATATATGTCTATACATATGTGTAAATTGTTTTTAGGTGTGTATATTTCTGGAGATTGAATTGTATGTTTGTTGACATAT